CGAGACCTTTTTTAGTTCTGCGCCACATGGTACTTTACCAGTGAGATTAGCTCCACACGGTGAGTTCTGGCGCCCGGATCACAGACTTTCTGATTGGTGAAACGGTGGAGGGCGGGACATCGAAATGAAAACAAGATTTAGAGGCTGTAAAACTAATTTAGAAATTCAAATATCTCTGAACTACTGTTTTCAGTTAAAGAAGTATTGGAAAAGAACATGTTTTATTAAACGCCTTTTGACAGATTAGAGCCCTTTAATGATGACTTGACATGAAAATCTTACGTATTGCTTCTTTAAATGTATTGATAGTAGTAATCATTAACCAGGCATGGTCTTGCTAATACAAAGCAGTCATAAATGGCAATATATCGCAGAATCAAATCACTCGGATATGTCACAATATGTTAGCAATCGCAAGAATAAAGCCCGATTTTTTTTTTCATGATATCCTGCACATACTATATTTTTAACATTAATATGTTGCACACTTCTGTCTTTTTGCACAATCTGAAAGATTCTTATAAAATGTGACGTGTAAATGTCTCCTTGTGAGATCGATTAAGTTTATCTTATCTCATCAAACATCACAATACTATCAAAGCATCACATTTTTGCCACCCACACGATATGCAGCTCCCATTCGTCAAAAACATGAAAAACCTCCCCATAGACAATACAATATGAACTTTATTACTTTTCAAAACATTAAAATCACTACTTGTTGATACGGACACCATACACACACGCCTCTGGTCCTCCACATCCGTCTAAAACACTGAAACCAGCAGTAACCCAGCTCCACATGGTCCCTGTCTCTGGGCTCAGACTGGTGTCAGAGCTGGACTAACCCAGCTCCACATGGTCCCTGTCTCTGGGCTCAGACTGGTGTCAGAGCTGGACTAACCCAGCTCCACATGGTCCCTGTCTCTGGGCTCAGACTGGTGTCAGAGCTGGACTAACCCAGCTCCACATGGTCCCTGTCTCTGGGCTCAGACTGGTGTCAGAGCTGGACTAACCCAGGTCCACATGGTCCCTGTCTCTGGGCTCAGACTGGTGTCAGAGCTGGACTAACCCAGGTCCACATGGCAGGGACGTGCAGTCAGGGGAGGCAGGGGAGGCAGAGCCTCACCTGCCATTATTGGAAACTAATAATTATTTTAGTTTAAATATATAATTTATATCCACTGTCCTATGCTTTTAATGTATATTCGGCACGGTTCCCATCAGTTTTGATCATTTCTGAAGTCAAAATCGCCGAAATCCCGTTATTCCTATTCAAAGAGACGAGGTGAGGCAGCGCTCCTGCGTGCCTCACCTCAGACCGCTCCCTCACAGTGTGTGTGTGTGTGTCTGAGTGCACTCAGCTCGTGCAGTTGATATATCACCGTTTGTTTCAAATATCCTGCTTTAAAAACATGTTTTAAACTCCTCTTAGTGTTTAGTAGTGTATTGCACGTATGTGTGTACAATTTATATTTAGTTTAAGTCTTTTGATCGTAGATGAACACACAAGGAAAAAGCTTGGCGTGAGGCAGGCGGTATCTGTGCCTCACCGCTAGGGGTGATAGTGAGCATAAAGTTCATACCAGAGTTGCTAACAAACAATCAGCCCAAAATGCTATTTCTTTTGCTGGAAAATGGATGATTTGAATGAAGATTTTTTTTCTCAATTGGACTTTCAAACAAAGAAAGAATTAATATAGACTGGGAGACCACCACTGGACTTACGAGGTTAGTCCGGCTGCGGGGGAGGAGTTTGTTAATCTGTGTTTTATGTTGAACATTGACAGATACCGGCAAAGTAGTGCTTTTCCGAAAAACACTGATTCAAACACTGCTCAAGAGTTCTGCAACTTGTTTAAATTATTGTTTATGTTCCTCGCGTCTCTCTCTCCTCGCGTCTCTCTCTCCTCGCGTCTCCGTCTCTCTCTGCTCCTCGCGTCTCCGTCTCTCTGCTCCTCTCTGTCTCTCTCTGCTCCTCTCTCCTCGCGTCTCTCTCTCCTCGCGTCTCTCGCACCTGCGCTTCTTAAAGATGTTGTTTGATGCGGAGCAGAGTCAGCAGCTAGATTTGTTGTGAGATTATTAAAAGAAGCTGGTTCTCTTATCTTTACAGTATATAAAGTTTGTGGATGTCATTGCATTGGTGATTAAATGCTATTTTATTTGAATAATGATTGTAAATCTGACTTTTAAAGTCAGTGCCTCCCCAATCACAAACCTCACCGCACGTCCCTGCCACATGGTCCCTGTCTCTGGGCTCAGACTGGTGTCAAAGCTGGACTAACCCAGCTCCACATGGTCCCTGTCTCTGGGCTCAGACTGGTGTCAAAGCTGGACTAACCCAGGTCCACATGGTCCCTGTCTCTGGGCTCAGACTGGTGTCAAAGCTGGACTAACCCAGGTCCACATGGTCCCTGTCTCTGGGCTCAGACTGGTGTCAGAGCTGGACTAACCCAGGTCCACATGGTCCCTGTCTCTGGGCTCAGACTGGTGTCAGAGCTGGACTAACCCAGGTCCACATGGTCCCTGTCTCTGGGCTCAGACTGGTGTCAGAGCTGGACTAACCCAGGTCCACATGGTCCCTGTCTCTGGGCTCAGACTGGTGTCAGAGCTGGAGGCTGATTAAGAGGCTTCTGCTGTAATATTTGATAAGGACTGACAGTTTGTCTGAGAGAGGGATGCGTTCAAGGACCTCTGTAAAAGTGACACTGTGAGAGAGAGAGAAGAGACGTCACATTCACAGAGAGAGAGAGAGAAGAGACGTCACATTCACAGAGAGAGAGAGAGAGAGAGAGAAGTCACATTCAGAGAGAGAGAGAGAGAGAAGAGACGTCACATTCACAGAGAGAGAGAGAGAAGAGACGTCACATTCACAGAGAGAGAGAGAGAGAGAGAGAAGTCACATTCAGAGAGAGAGAGAGAGAGAAGAGACGTCACATTCACAGAGAGAGAGAGAGAAGAGACGTCACATTCACAGAGAGAGAGAGAGAGAGAGAGAAGTCACATTCAGAGAGAGAGAGAGAGAGAAGAGACGTCACATTCACAGAGAGAGAGAGAGAAGAGACGTCACATTCAGAGAGAGAGAGAGAGAAGAGACGTCACATTCACAGAGAGAGAGAGAGAAGAGACGTCACATTCACAGAGAGAGAGAGAGAAGAGACGTCACATTCACAGAGAGAGAGAGAGAAGAGACGTCACATTCACAGAGAGAGAGAAGAGACGTCACATTCAGAGAGAGAGAGAGAGAGAGAGAGAGAGAGAAGTCACATTCACAGAGAGAGAGAGAGAGAGAGAGAGAGAAGTCACATTCACAGAGAGAGAGAGAGAGAGAGAAGTCACATTCAGAGAGAGAGAGAAGTCACATTCAGAGAGAGAGAGAGAGAGAAGTCACATTCAGAGAGAGAGAGAGAGAGAAGTCACATTCAGAGAGAGAGAGAAGAGAGAGAGAGAAGTCACATTCAGAGAGAGAGAGAGAGAGAGAGAGAAGTCACATTCAGAGAGAGAGAGAGAGAGAAGTCACATTCAGAGAGAGAGAGAGAGAGAAGTCACATTCAGAGAGAGAGAGAGAGAGAAGTCACATTCAGAGAGAGAGAGAGAGAGAGAGAGAGAAGTCACATTCAGAGAGAGAGAGAGAGAGAGAAGTCACATTCAGAGAGAGAGAGAGAGAAGTCACATTCAGAGAGAGAGAGAGAGAGAGAGAAGTCACATTCAGAGAGAGAGAGAGAGAGAAGTCACATTCAGAGAGAGAAAGAGAGAAGTCACATTCAGAGAGAGAGAGAGAGAGAGAGAGAAGTCACATTCAGAGAGAGAGAGAGAGAGAAGTCACATTCAGAGAGAGAGAGAGAGAGAGAAGTCACATTCAGAGAGAGAGAGAGAGAGAGAAGTCACATTCAGAGAGAGAGAGAGAGAAGTCACATTCAGAGAGAGAGAGAGAAGTCACATTCAGAGAGAGAGAGAGAGAGAAGTCACATTCAGAGAGAGAGAGAGAGAGAGAAGTCACATTCAGAGAGAGAGCGAGAGAGAAGTCACATTCAGAAAGAGAGAGGAGAGAGAGAGAAGTCACATTCAGAGAGAGAGAGAGAGAGAGAAGTCACATTCAGAGAGAGAGAGAGAGAGAGAGAAGTCACATTCAGAGAGAGAGAGAGAAGTCACATTCAGAGAGAGAGAGAGAGAGAGAGAGAGAGAGAAGTCACATTCACAGAGAGAGAGAGAAGTCACATTCAGAGAGAGAGAGAGAGAGAGAGAGAAGTCACATTCAGAGAGAGAGAGAGAGAGAGAAGTCACATTCAGAGAGAGAGAGAGAGAGAGAGAGAGAGAAGTCACATTCACAGAGAGAGAGAGAAGTCACATTCAGAGAGAGAGAGAGAGAGAGAGAGAGAAGTCACATTCAGAGAGAGAGAGAGAGAGAGAAGTCACATTCAGAGAGAGAGAGAGAGAGAGAGAGAGAGAGAGAGAGAGAGAGAGAGAGTGCAGAGTCAGAGTGAGGCAGATTTAGCCTCTCGATACTTCCACACGTCTCTGTGTTTGGAGAGAGTTCCAAACGTGTCAAAGGTGTTATTCTCTGTGGAAACTGAAATCTCGCTCCAGTGTTTTCACCTCAAGTTAATCCTGGTTCAGACTTTGGTGATGGGCCATGGTTCAGAGCAGCCCTCCACAAGGACCAGTTTAATGTCAGACAATATTAATCAGGACCGGCTTCTTGAATGATTGAGTTTTCTTCTAAATCTGATTGTTGCTCCGAGGGACCGGAAGTAAATCTCTCCACAAAGAACCAATGTCGATCTTCACTGATTCTGAGTCAAAATGATCTTTTTCTGTGTCACAGCTGCTCACATCAAGTGGAGAACTTATGGAGGCTCTATTTAGCTAAAACGGGTGTCGATTATTAGGAAAATGCCTAAAAAGGAACTGTGAAAAGACCAGGGTCTGGGACTGTGAGGACCAATAGTAACCCACATGGTATAAGGGTAAAACCAATGTGTTTTTTCCTCAATACTGAACTATTCCACAACGTTTGTGTCTCCTGCGTGTCGCCTGCGTGTCTCCTGCATGTCGCCTGCGTGTCGCCTGCGTGTCGCCTGCGTGTCGCCTGCGTGTCGCCTGCGTGTCGCCTGCGTGTCTCCTGCGTGTCTCCTGCGTGTCTCCTGCGTGTCTCCTGCGTGTCGCCTGCGTGTCGCCTGCGTGTCTCCTGCGTGTCGCCTGCGTTTCTCCTGCGTGTCGCCTGCGTGTCTCCTGCGTGTCGCCTGCGTGTCGCCTGCGTGTCTCCTGCGTGTCGCCTGCGTTTCTCCTGCGTGTCGCCTGCGTGTCGCCTGCGTGTCGCCTGCGTGTCTCCTGCATGTCGCCTGCGTGTCGCCTGCGTGTCTCCTGCGTGTCGCCTGCGTGTCGCCTGCGTGTCTCCTGCGTGTCGCCTGCGTGTCTCCTGCGTGTCGACTGCGTGTCTCCTGCGTGTCGCCTGCGTGTCTCCTGCATGTCGCCTGCGTGTCGCCTGCGTGTCGCCTGCGTGTCGCCTGCGTGTCTCCTGCGTGTCGCCTGCGTGTCTCCTGCGTGTCGCCTGCGTGTTGCCTGCGTGTCTCCTGCGTGTCGCCTGCGTGTCCCCTGCGTATCCCCTGCGTGTCTCCTGCGTATCCCCTGCGTGTCTCCTGCGTGTCGCCTGCGTGTCGCCTGCGTGTCTCCTGCGTGTCGCCTGCGTGTCTCCTGCGTATCCCCTGCGTGTCTCCTGCGTGTCCCCTGCGTGTCTCCTGCGTGTCGCCTGCGTGTCGCCTGCGTGTCTCCTGCGTGTCGCCTGCGTGTCTCCTGCGTGTCGCCTGCGTGTTGCCTGCGTGTCTCCTGCGTGTCGCCTGCGTGTCGCCTGCGTATCCCCTGCGTGTCTCCTGCGTATCCCCTGCGTGTCTCCTGCGTGTCGCCTGCGTGTCGCCTGCGTGTCGCCTGCGTGTCTCCTGCGTGTCGCCTGCGTGTCTCCTGCGTATCCCCTGCGTGTCTCCTGCGTGTCCCCTGCGTGTCGCCTGCGTGTCGTCTGCGTATCCCCTGCGTGTCTCCTGCGTATCCCCTGCGTGTCTCCTGCGTGTCGCCTGCGTGTCGCCTGCGTGTCTCCTGCGTGTCGCCTGCGTGTCTCCTGCGTATCCCCTGCGTGTCTCCTGCGTGTCCCCTGCGTGTCGCCTGCGTGTCGTCTGCGTGTCGCCTGCGTGTCCCCTGCGTGTCGCCTGCTTGTCGCCCGCGTGTCTCCTGCGTGTCGCCTGCGTGTCGCCTGCGTGTTGCCTGCGTGTCGCCTGCTTGTTGCCCGCGTGTCGCCTGCGTGTCGCCCGCGTGTCGCCTGCGTGTCGCCCGCGTGTCGCCTGCTTGTCGCCTGCTTGTTGCCCGCGTGTCGCCTGCGTGTCGCCCGCGTGTCGCCTGCGTGTCGTCTGCGTGTCGCCTGCGTGTCTCCTGCGTGTCGCCTGCGTGTCGCCTGCGTGTCGTCTGCGTGTCTCCTGCGTATCCCCTGCGTATCCCCTGCGTGTCTCCTGCGTGTCGCCTGCGTGTCGCCTGCGTGTCTCCTGCGTATCCCCTGCGTGTCTCCTGCGTGTCCCCTGCGTGTCGCCTGCGTGTCGTCTGCGTATCCCCTGCGTGTCTCCTGCGTATCCCCTGCGTGTCTCCTGCGTGTCGCCTGCGTGTCGCCTGCGTGTCTCCTGCGTGTCGCCTGCGTGTCTCCTGCGTATCCCCTGCGTGTCTCCTGCGTGTCCCCTGCGTGTCGCCTGCGTGTCGCCTGCGTGTCGCCTGCGTGTCTCCTGCGTGTCGCCTGCGTGTCTCCTGCGTGTCGCCTGCGTGTTGCCTGCGTGTCTCCTGCGTGTCGCCTGCGTGTCCCCTGCATATCCCCTGCGTGTCTCCTGCGTATCCCCTGCGTGTCTCCTGCGTGTCGCCTGCGTGTCGCCTGCGTGTCTCCTGCGTGTCGCCTGCGTGTCTCCTGCGTATCCCCTGCGTGTCTCCTGCGTGTCCCCTGCGTGTCGCCTGCGTGTCGTCTGCGTATCCCCTGCGTGTCTCCTGCGTATCCCCTGCGTGTCTCCTGCGTGTCGCCTGCGTGTCGCCTGCGTGTCTCCTGCGTGTCGCCTGCGTGTCTCCTGCGTATCCCCTGCGTGTCTCCTGCGTGTCCCCTGCGTGTCGCCTGCGTGTCGTCTGCGTGTCGCCTGCGTGTCCCCTGCGTGTCGCCTGCTTGTCGCCCGCGTGTCTCCTGCGTGTCGCCTGCGTGTCGCCTGCGTGTCCCCTGCGTGTTGCCTGCGTGTCGCCTGCTTGTTGCCCGCGTGTCGCCTGCGTGTCGCCTGCGTGTCGCCCGCGTGTCGCCTGCTTGTCGCCTGCTTGTTGCCCGCGTGTCGCCTGCGTGTCGCCCGCGTGTCGCCTGCGTGTCGTCTGCGTGTCGCCTGCGTGTCTCCTGCGTGTCGCCTGCGTGTCGCCTGCGTGTCGTCTGCGTGTCTCCTGCGTATCCCCTGCGTGTCTCCTGCGTGTCGCCTGCGTGTCGCCTGCGTGTCTCCTGCGTGTCGCCTGCGTGTCTCCTGCGTATCCCCTGCGTGTCTCCTGCGTGTCCCCTGCGTGTCGCCTGCGTGTCGTCTGCGTGTCGCCTGCGTGTCCCCTGCGTGTCGCCTGCTTGTCGCTTGCTTGTCGCCCGCGTGTCGCCTGCGTGTCGTCTGCGTGTTGTCTGCGTGTCGCCTGCGTGTCCCCTGCGTGTCGCCTGCGTGTCGCCTGCTTGTTGCCCGCGTGTCGCCTGCGTGTCGCCCGCGTGTCGCCTGCGTGTCTCCTGCGTGTCGCCTGCGTGTCGCCTGCGTGTCGCCTGCGTGTCTCCTGCGTGTCGCCTGCGTGTCTCCTGCGTATCCCCTGCGTGTCTCCTGCGTGTCCCCTGCGTGTCGCCTGCGTGTTGTCTGCGTGTCGCCTGCGTGTCCCCTGCGTGTCGCCTGCGTGTCGCCTGCTTGTTGCCCGCGTGTCGCCTGCGTGTCGCCCGCGTGTCGCCCGCGTGTCGCCTGCGTGTCTCCTGCGTGTCGCCTGCGTGTCGCCTGCGTGTCGCCTGCGTGTCTCCTGCGTGTCGCCTGCGTGTCTCCTGCGTATCCCCTGCGTGTCTCCTGCGTGTCCCCTGCGTGTTGCCTGCGTGTCGTCTGCGTGTCGCCTGCGTGTCCCCTGCGTGTCGCCTGCTTGTCGCCTGCTTGTCGCCCGCGTGTCGCCTGCGTGTCGTCTGCGTGTTGTCTGCGTGTCGCCTGCGTGTCCCCTGCGTGTCGCCTGCGTGTCGCCTGCTTGTTGCCCGCGTGTCGCCTGCGTGTCGCCCGCGTGTCGCCTGCTTGTCGCCTGCTTGTCGCCTGCTTGTTGCCCGCGTGTCGCCTGCGTGTCGCCTGCGTGTCGTCTGCGTGTCGCCTGCGTGTCTCCTGCGTATCCCCTGCGTATCCCCTGCGTGTCTCCTGCGTATCCCCTGCGTGTCGCCTGCGTGTCGCCTGCTTGTCGCCCGCGTGTCGCCTGCGTGTCCCCTGCGTGTCGCCTGCGTGTCCCCTGCGTGTCGCCTGCGTGTCGCCTGCTTGTCGCCTGCGTGTCGCCTGCTTGTCGCCTGCTTGTCGCCTGCTTGTTGCCTGCTTGTTGCCCGCGTGTCGCCCGCGTGTCGCCTGCGTGTCGTCTGCGTGTCGTCTGCGTGTCGTCTGCGTGTCGCCTGCGTGTACCCTGCGTGTCGCCTGCGTGTCGCCTGCTTGTCGCCTGCTTGTTGCCTGCTTGTTGCCCGCGTGTCGCCCGCGTGTCGCCTGCGTGTCGTCTGCGTGTCGTCTGCGTGTCGCCTGCGTGTCCCCTGCGTGTTGCTTGCGTGTCGCCTGCTTGTTGCCCGCGTGTCGCCTGCGTGTCGCCCAGAGCGGTGTGGACCATGACGCTAATCTCATAGAAGAAGAACATTCAGGGGTTTAATCCAGATTATAAAATTATCTATTATTAGAATCCAAATACAAATTGTTACAACCCTAAACTTGGCTCTGAGAAGGGGAAAGAAAATGTAATGCAAAGTAAATGGCCTTACTGAACAAAACTTAGAGTCAAAAGAAAAACAAAAGTCTTCAATCTGCAGGCACTAAATCAAAGTTCTCTAAATGTCTCTTAAGGTCACATGAGGTCACATAAGGTCTCAACGCGGCGAGCTCTCCCAAACACGTCTGTCTCTCAAAGGTCGCGGGCAGGTCAGCCGTGGCGCAGATTGATGTGGCCGGAGCTCCTATTGGCCATGCAGACGGGTTACGGGCAGTATTGCGATTCGATTCTTGGATATATTGCAATTATGTCCCTCATGTTATTTAAAGGAGCTTTACCCGTTTCTGCAAGGTTTGAATGTTTAGCCCCGCCCCCAACTCTCTCACAGGCTTCTCATTTCCTCTACGCTCTCATCCCACGGAGCCATCTAGTTTTATTTGTGATCTATATGCTAACATTAGCATTAGCGCAACTTCTTGTAAGCCGTACAACAATCACTGATGAAATGGTACAAAAGCAACGCACTGATAACACAATATATAACTGAAAGATTACCGCTAGTTTATCGTCCGAATGTAGTCTGAGCGTAGATAGTCTGAGCGTAGATAGTCCGAGTGTAGATAGTCCGAGCGCAGATAGTCCGAGCGTAGATAGTCCGAGCGTAGACAGTTCGAGCGTAGACAGTCCGAGCGTAGACAGTCCGAGCGTAGATAGTCCGAGCGTAGATAGTCCGAGCGTAGATAGTCCGAGCGTAGATAGTCCGAGCGTATATAGTCCGAGCGTAGATAGTCCGAGCGTAGATAGTCCGAGCGTAGATAGTCCGAGCGTAGATAGTCCGAGCGTAGATAGTCCGAGCGTAGATAGTCCGAGCGTAGATAGTCCGAGCGTAGATAGTCCGAGCGTAGATAGTCCGAGCGTAGATAGTCCGAGCGTAGATAGTCCGAGCGTAGATAGTCCGAGCGCATAGATAGTCCGAGCGTATATAGTCCGAGCGTAGATAGTCCGAGCGTAGATAGTCCGAGCGTAGATAGTCCGAGCGTATATAGTCCGAGCGTAGATAGTCCGAGGCGGTCCCGCAGGTCTCTCCCACAGACCAGTCTCTCCAGAGGATACGATGTAAGCTAGCTCTGTTCAGGACTTGGTTTCTTCTTTGATCATGTTTTGGCTTTAGTTCCTCTTCTCTTCCTCACTGTTGTGTGGTTTGGGCTGTTTTGCTGTGTCTGCAGTTACAGCCAGAGGAGTTATAGCCACTTATGCTAACATGCTACTGTGTTTAGCAGCGCTGTAGAGGCTAGAGGACGCAGCCTCGTTCTGTGATTGGAGGAGAGCGGGCGTCACGCTAAGTCTCTACTCAGCACTTTTTACGGCCTGAGTTCATACACAGCTGAATCAATGAGCTCAAGTTTTACATTAAATTACAGATTATTATACAACTAGTATGTAGTAATAAGCATTTTTATGAACTCATAAAAAAAAAAAAAATTGGGTATAGCTTTTTTAAAAGCGTTAAAAACATAAAGGAAAATAAGATTCAACTAAAAAGTCACATTTATTATAGTCTGTGGTCATGAGCGACTTAAATCATTACTAGTATGAAATTACTATTAAATACAATAAACAAAAATCAGACAATTTAGACCTTGGAATCAGAGTAAACTCAGAGAAAACACAACTAAAACAGGTAATTATAAAATATCACCACTACTGCCCGAAAAACAGAAGAAGTCCCAGAGACCCGGCTCTAATGACATAGTTTAAGTTTTCAGTGTTTCTAGGACCTGCTTGGACCAGAGGGAGAGAGAGAGACAAGAGAGAGAGAGAGACCAGAGAGAGAGACCAGAGGGAGACCAGAGAGAGACCAGAGAGAGAGACCAGAGGGAGACCAGAGAGAGACCAGAGAGAGGCCAGAGGGAGACCAGAGAGAGAGAGAGAGACCAGAGGGAGACCAGAGAGAGAGAGAGACCAGAGAGAGAGACCAGAGGTGGACCAGAGATGGACCAGAGGGAGACCAGAGAGAGAGAGAGACCAGAGAGAGAGAGAAAGACCAGAGGGAGACCAAAGAGAGAGAGAGAGACCAGAGAGAGAGACCAGAGAGAGAGACCAGAGAGAGACCAGAGATGGACCAGAGGGAGACCAGAGAGAGAGACCAGAGAGAGAGACCAGAGGGAGACCAGAGAGAGAGAGAGAGACCAGAGGGAGACCAGAGAGAGACCAGAGATGGACCAGAGGGAGACCAGAGAGAGAGAGAGAAAGACCAGAGGGAGACCAGAGAGAGAGAGAGAGACCAGAGAGAGAGAGAAAGACCAGAGGGAGACCAGAGAGAGAGAGAGAGACCAGAGAGAGAGACCAGAGAGAGAGACCAGAGGGAGACCAGAGAGAGAGAGAGAGACCAGAGAGAGACCAGAGAGGGAGACCAGAGAGAGAGACTGGTTTCCTCCGTCCTCACTGACAGTATATTGGCGGACACACACACACAGCACTTTTTTGCTCTCCTCGTCTACTTACGACTCAGCGCAGCGGGAAAAAAGTCTCCCAGAAATCTGCTACGTTTGCAAAGAATGTACTCAAAGTCTTTGTGCCCTTCTGTCCAAAGCCGCTCGCTGTGGGCCCAGTGTCAGAGTCTGGCTCCTCCGGTCCACGTCCAACTCTGAACGGCCCAAAAATATGCCAATACACTGCAAAAAATGATCAAATATGAGATCATAATTACTAGAATCGAGTTTTTTTTTACTTGACTTAAGTTCATTCTGAGATTTGCCAATGAGAGAAGCAATTTTGACTTGATTCAAGAACTATTGCTTTATTTTCTCATTCCAAGAGAGATATATCTTGTATCTTTTTAAAACAAGATAATTTTTCTTGTTCCACTGGCAAATCTTGTTTTAAGGCAGTCAAAATGTTCTCAAATTTAGATACATTTAGCCAAATTTGAGCATTTTTTTTGTCTTTAATTCTGTCATATTTTGCAGTGTATGTTTCTCACACTCCAGTTTTGACAAAGAATATAAAGAATTTTCACTGGGGCCATACCAAGCAAAATGAACTTTTATACTGTTTTTACGGTCTCTGCTTGTGATGGGCCCCCTCAAAGTGCCAGGGTACCTCGAGGCAAGGCATGGCAAGTTTTTTGGTATAGCGCAATTCATACACGAGGCAACTCAAAGTGCTGAACAAAACAAGATAACATTAACATTATAAATAATCACAGTACCTCATTATCGAACTGCTAAAAGAACTGAATGAAGTAATTTTTTGGAAAATACCTAAAAACAAACGTAGGAATAGAATTAGCCTGCCTAGCATCTGTGTGTAGCATCTGTGTGTAGCATCTTTGTATGTAGCACAGATGCTACATCTCACTTTTTCCCCTGAGTTTATTAGACAACAGCAACGTTTATGGACATTTATAAACATTTATGGATCAATGACTGTGTTTTTCATCATTCCTTGTGTTTGAACTGTTCTGTGTTTGAACCGTTCTGTGTTTGAACTGTTCTGTGTTTGAACCGTTCTGTGTTTGAACCGTTCTGTGTTTGAACCGTTCTGTGTTTGAACCGTTCTGTGTTTGAACCGTTCTGTGTTTGAACCGTTCTGTGTTTGAACTGTTCTGTGTTTGAACTGTTCTGTGTTTGAACTGTTCTGTGTTTGAACTGTTCTGTGTTTGAACTGTTCTGTGTTTGAACTGTTCTGTGTTTGAACCGTTCTGTGTTTGAACCGTTCTGTGTTTGAACCGTTCTGTGTTTGAACTGTTCTGTGTTTGAACTGTTCTGTGTTTGAACTGTTCTGTGTTTGAACTGTTCTGTGTTTGAACTGTTCTGTGTTTGAACTGTTCTGTGTTTGAACCGTTCTGTGTTTGAACCGTTCTGTGTTTGAACCGTTCTGTGTTTGAACTGTTCTGTGTTTGAACCGTTCTGTGTTTGAACCGTTCTCTGTTTGAACTGTTCTGTGTTTGAACTGTTCTGTGTTTGAACTGTTCTGTGTTTGAACCGTTCTGTGTTTGAACTGTTCTGTGTTTGAACTGTTCTGTGTTTGAACTGTTCTGTGTTTGAACTGTTCTGTGTTTGAACCGTTCTGTGTTTGAACTGTTCTGTGTCGGCGAATTCGACTGTTTTGTAAAGTCCTCCGCGATAACTCCTGTTGATGGATTTGTCGTATCGTACGGTCAGAACACACAAATAAAACCACCAGAGTTCAGCCTCCTCACCAGAGAGAGAGACCAGAGAGAGACCAGAGAGAGAGACCAGAGGGAGACCAGAGAGAGACCAGAGAGAGACCAGAGAGAGACCAGAGAGAGACTAGGGAGAGACCAGAGAGAGACCAGAGAGAGACCAGAGAGAGACCAGAGAGAGACCAGAGAGAGACTAGAGAGAGACCAGAGAGAGACTAGAGAGAGACCAGAGAGAGACTAGAGAGAGACCAGAGAGAGACTAGAGAGAGACCAGAGAGAGACCAGAGAGAGACCAGAGAGAGACCAGAGAGAGACCAGAGAGAGACCAGAGAGAGACCAGAGAGAGACCAGAGAGAGACCAGAGAGAGACTAGAGAGAGACCAGAGAGAGACCAGAGAGAGACCAGAGAGAGACCAGAGAGAGACTAGGGAGAGACCAGAGAGAGACCAGCGAGAGACCAGAGAGAGACTAGAGAGAGACCATAGAGAGACCAGAGAGAGACCAGAGAGAGACCAGAGAGAGACTAGAGAGAGACCAGAGAGAGACTAGAGAGAGACTAGAGAGAGACTAGAGAGAGACCAGAGGGAGACCAGAGAGAGACCAGAGAGAGACCAGAGAGAGACTAGAGAGAGACCAGAGAGAGACCAGAGAGAGACTAGAGAGAGACTAGAGAGAGACTAGAGAGAGACCAGAGGGAGACCAGAGAGAGACCAGAGAGAGACCAGAGAGAGACTAGAGAGAGACTAGAGA